GAATCATTCCAAAAATTTTGTGAACCAATATGGAAAAGAAATATGAACCTTGTGTTTGAAAGTTGTGTTGCTCTCCCTTGGTGCTGGTGACTGTGGTTCATAGGCACAGGTAAGGACAGTGGGAAGTACTGGGGGATCCGGTGTCCAGTTTTCCACTCATGGAAAATAGACACATTCAGTTCACACAGCAGTGCCGGAGTCCAGTGCCGTCATCACTGTTATTATAATTACCGTGATAGACAACAGTTACTACTCTGTAATTTACAGGTAGCATCTTAATTCTTTAGGCATATGTTACACTTTAAGAATTTATGAATCACATAATTCTTTTAAGATAGGAACTATTAGTCTTCCATTGAAAAGATAAATAAACCAAGGAACAAAAAGTTAAATGTTTGATGGTGACACAGAGTTCTGGGAGTAATCAAGCTTGAGACTGGAACTTGACCATCAAGAGTCATGTATTTTTATCTGCATTGGTATGTTTCTTCAAGAATGTCAAACCCTGTCTATATAGAAAGATTCCAAACTCTAACTCAGGAAGTAGACAGTGATGAACTCTGGGATGTCACCGCACATTGAGGTCTAAGAACTGCAGCACAGCTTCTGAGAGAAGCCTATGCTGTCCTACTTCACCTGCACGACAGTAGCCTTCCGCTCACTGCACAGAGGTCGTCATTCTCAATGTCTATCACAAATAAATGTATCTGTTCTCTAAAAGGAGCTAAAATGTAAGCCCTTGGTTTGCCAAAATAAATTAGTTCTGAGAAAACTTAAATAGCAAAACCAAAAGTTGTGAACCTGGGGCCGGAACTTGTCAGGATGATGATGGGTGGGCACTGGCACAATTGAAAGGGAGATGAGAGACAGTGGGTTGGGGGAGCCTTTGGAGGACGGCAGATATGTGTATGAAACCATCAAAGCACAAAATTAACCTTAAGTTTACATAACTTGTTCCTGGCCACATTGAGACATCTCTTTGAAGTCATCTCTTTGAAATCTTGTGGTTCTTCTTCCTGAAAACAGTAGAATCAGCCACAGAGTCTCTAATATATGTCAATGGCTTGGTCCGACTCTCCCAAATCTAAGCTAGCAGCCTCAGTTGGGACCGAGGCCAAGCACAATGTTCAGGCCCTGAACAGTGAAGCCCAAACACATTACAGACTTGACATCATCTCTCACTTAATGTCATATAAAGTTAGCTCATCTTTCTTTCATCGATATGCATTTCTTGTTAAAAGTAAAAACAAAAGAAAGTAGCGTCTTAATGATAAAGTCTGGCAATGTTATCATACAGGTGAAATGTATGATAGAGTCCCTGAAAAAGAATGTTGTAAGTCTGCCACAGAGCATGCTGGGTATTTGACAACCCTGAAATGAAGATTTGCACATCTGTTCTGGACCAGATAGAATGAGAAAAAATGCAAGCAAACAAACAAACAAACAAAACCCCGAGATTTAGGAAAGGATCCTCAGTAAGTTTTGAGTTAGGGGAAGTGAGGACAATACCAGAGTCACTCAAACCATGCTGGGAGAAAGAAGGGTGGAGTCAGAGTGATGCTCTGTAGCCCCACCTGAGACAGACGCCGGAACTTTAGCCAATAAGCCACAGTCACGTGGTGATACACAGATTAATAAAAATGAGTTAAATGAATATGTAAGAGTTAGTCAATAAGCTAGATAGTAGGCCAAGCAGTGATTTAATTAATACAGCTTCTGTGTGATTATTTCGGGCTAAGTGGCCAGAAATAAACTAGCAACCTCCTTACTATATCCCAGGACAAGCCAGGGTCAAAAACCTAAGTGTTTTGATTTCAATTTTTGACTGAAGATTAACAAAATAAGAAGTAAAGAATATAAAGTTGCTGTTATGAGTGTTAAGAAATAGCAGTAGTCTTAAATCACAATTTAAATTTAATTTTAATACAATCTACATTGTACAAAATTTATTTCTAAACCTAATTTAAATCTAAAATTTATGCAATTTAATTTTAATTTAATCTCCTAACATTTAGATGAATGTATCTATAAATGTTTAGAATTTTTCTTTTCCCCTTTTCTGCTTATCAAGATAGCCAGAGCCTAACTGAATAAAAATGTTTCCTATGAACAGAATGACATTGTCTATAATTGTCTATAAGAGTGAATTTCTGGTATATCAGGAGAATATGGACAGAGTGAAGTGCTGTAGGTCTTATTGTGCGACAGTTATGAAATCTTCACAGTGACCATCTTGGTGTCTTGGCAATGGACTTCACAAAGTCAAATGTTTTACAGTATTACAAGTTAAAATAAAAACTGTCAGGTATTAGGACTAAAGAATATGCTGCTTTTCTGCCAAAGTGAGCTCATTGTTCTCACTGATCCTCTTCCAATTTGATTTCATATGCAAGTATTGTGGAAATAAATTGCTTTAATGGCAATGCTTTTCCTTCTACCAGGAAAGGTTTCTGCTCTGTATTATCTGAAATTCATTCAATTACAGAAAATGCATGTTGAAGGGGTTTGTGTTCCTATCAGCTATCAGTGTAGTTTTGCTACCATCCATGGCTCCTTTGGGTGCATCAAGTGTGCTTCTTGTGCAGAAGTAATGTTCCTTGAAGAGAAAACCTGAGCATACATGTCGCCAATGCGCTCATCAGAATGCAATAGGATAGCAATGCTTTAGGGCAACTGATGTGAACGGAACCTGACAACTGAGATGGAGTGGTTACAGTCGGTCTAATGGAAAAATTAATCATCAGAGATATATGAGATCTCTCTCAAATAATTTTTTCTTTTCTGTCTAGTGAAACACTTCAGTACCACCAAATATAGCGTGAGCACGGAAACCAAAAATGTTCTTTAGCTTCGTAACACATCCTCAATGAATAAATATTTTACTTTTTCTTGCTCTTAGTCTCCCATGTTTCAAATATTGTAATCAATAGGAATCAACTCTCCTTATTTGGAAACTGAGATTATCTCAGGCACATGAATACGGAGAATAGACTTGCAGCAACATACGCTTTAAGGAGTGTTCTGTCTAATTTGTCAAATAACACTTATTTGTTCATAGTAATAGTATAAAATTAAACAGTCCTTTGTTTCACTCGTCAAATAACACTTATTATCGAACAACTGAAGAGTATAATTTTGGTAGGAAATTGCTAAGTGTCTAACTGGCATTTGATGTTTGCATCTGGCTTGAATTCAGAAACCGCTCCTACCTCTTATTTTAGATAAATGGAGTGTCCTTCCTCTGTCAGGATGGCAACGCAGCTTTTATTGCTCTGCTGTTTCGACCGCTTGCTTCTTTGACCCCGACTCAAATTATTAAAGACTCAGAAACAGCAGACAATGAGTCTTTTAAATTTGTCAACACAAATATAAACCTGGCCCTTTGCTTTCACTAACTTCAGTCTGCCAGCTTGAAGGCATATAAGCCTGTCTATGCCCTGCCTTCTACTTGGTGTTCCTTTGCATTATATAATTTTTAGTCTTAATTTGATTACAGTATTCAAAATGAGTTAATGATTTATATCCTTGCCATGGTGGTGCCTTGTGTGTCCTCTGCTGACTTTTATTAACTAGATTTCAATTTAAAACTAAAACCGATGTCTAGACTTTGGAGTATTCAGTGGTGAACTTTGTGCTACTGTCTGGTACACGCTCCTGTTTTTGCCTTGAATATTAGAATAACCAATATTCTAGGTGTGGCAACTATAGATGCACATGCTTAGTCAAAATCTTTTTATCACCTTCTCACCACTCCTCGCCGCTCTCATATACACGCTGTGCCCCCTCTATGCCAACGTCTTGTCCTTTCCCTTTACATTCCTGTTATTAAATGCCTTATTGGTGGCATGGGTCCCACCTTCCCTCATTTGGCACTGGAAGAAAGAAAGTTAATTTAAAACTAACCTAAAAATTATCTGTAACATAAGCATTGTAGAATCCAAGTTTAGTCCCTTGTAGGATACTCTGAGATTCCTTCAGCCTCCACCCTTCTGGCCTCCGGCTCTTTCGTAACTTTACAAAGGAAGCTGTAGAGGATGGAATCTCACCCAGGTATGAGTGCATACCCTGCACACCCTGCCCACTTGCCCTGCTTCATGCCTATGAGGATAAAGAGGTCCAGTGAACCTACGATAATATTTGTGCTATGATTCCCTGTCCCTAAATCAAATACAACTTTAAAAGATCATTAGATAGGAAAAGGTGTCTCTTTTTAATCTTTTGTAATTTGGGGCCCTTTGGCTTTATTCTTTATTTTCTACTTTGAATACAACTGGCCTTTGTTCCATCTTGTAACTGAATATAAATGTTGACGTAAACGTGGCTATGTAAAAAACACGATGACATAAAATTTAATTCTAATGAAACAACACTCTAAAATAATACAGATAGCAGTTGCAGAGTGTTTTCTATTTATGCGTTATTCCGAGTACTTGATGTCAGCTGTATTTTCCAGTAACTCTGCAAGGTGAGATACAATGAAGCTCTCTTGTGTCTAGAGAGGCCAAACCAGAAAGGAATTAGCAGAGCTGATGCGAATACTAATGGAGAGAAAGGTCTGAATCCACATCTATCTGATGACTTCCCTTGTCTCAGAACGCATGACCCATGGAATCTGTGCATGTTCAAAAGGGTGCCGATTAGAAAGACATTCTACCAATGCACAGCACCTGCCTACATCACGCAGCACCTAACCATCTGTAAACAGGTGCTGCCTCTGGGCATCCTATCACAATTTACATTTTCTGAAAAACCGTCACCTGCTGTTAGGAGCCTGTGGCTTTTCTCCTTGCCTCATTTCCTTATGGACCACCCTGCCTTTTGCTCTTCTTCTCTAGAACACCCACCTGCATTCTTCCACCAATTCACACCAGTCCCTTTATCCATTAGGTCAGTAAACATCCATGAACTGCTACCACTAGATTCAGGATGAGTCTCACAAACCTTTCTCATCCTTCACAACCCAGTCCTAGCTATTTTCTAAAACATGATTTCACTAGGCATTTCATATGGAAATCTTTAATTAAGCAAAATACAAAATTATAATTTCTTGGTATATTTTACATTGAGTTTTTTTCCCAAACTAAATATTCAGCATCTTAGGGCAATGTTATGTCATCTCACCCTGTCTTCTTAGAAACTTGCCATATATTATAGTATCATACACAGAGAAGATCCACAGGAAATGTCCACTGCCTGATTGGTCCATGCTGGTGATAACAGCCATGCTTAAATAGGTCCCTCGCAGATGGTGTACTGGGGAACTTCTGGCTGCAGCTGTTGAGTAGTGTGGGTTAAGTCCTTGAGCGAGAGACTCCTCCTTCTGTAGGATGTTTCCACTCAGTCCTGAGCATCATTCTGAAATAAGAAAAGGTTAATAAAGAATGGTTCTCTTTCTGGTTTGGACTTCTGACTGTGTGATTACATCTTCCATGTATCTCTGTCATTTTTCTCTTTCTTGTACTTTTTCACTAAAGCCCTTCATCCCCCTGCTTCCTACCCATCTAGCTTCTTCTCAAAAATATCGACACAGCTCAGGGTTCATATTCACTGTTTAGAAGTCTGTAGAGTAAAATCTATCTGTTTAATTTCGTGGCCAGTTTATCATCTTATATTTTGGAAAGGAATGAGGCATTCATTGGACAAGTATATTTTATAATCAGTGCTCAGTAGCCTGTATCTAACTGCTCTTCTGAAATCTTTAAAACACAATTTTGACTCTGTACTTGCAGTTCAGTTCTGTTAGGCAAATTTGTCAGTTATGTCTTACTGATCAAGTCAGAAGCTTATTTGTCCACTGTAAAACTAGTCTGTTTTCAGAGATTGGAAGACTCTCTACTTTATGTTCATGTATCCACTCCAAATATATTTTCAAGTGTTCCTACATCCAATACAAAGGATATTTAAACTAAACATGTTCTCTAAGACCTCCAGCTTAGTTCTAGATTGCACTGAAAAATGTGGTGTTAATCAGTGTCCACATCTCTGAAGGATTTTAAAAAGAAGACTTTAGCCTAAGGACTGGCCATCAGTTATTGAGGGTTAGAAATTTTCAGGGTCATATTGGACTCCCTCCCTCCGGCCTTTGACATCATAGTTTTTAAACATCCTGTTTGCATCATCTCTGTAGTCCTTGCACCACCTCTGTAGTCCTTGCCTCTATAACATATCTCTCTCTCTCTCTCTCTCTCTCTCTCTCTCTCTCTCTCTCTCTCCCTCTCTCTCTCTCTCCCTCTCTCTCTCTCTCGTCAATAGCTTATATTTTGGAAACCAAATTCTGAGTATAGTGACCCTCTGACTCTCTGCCCCATTGTTTCTGAAAGGAAGCCTTGTACATGATGCATTCCACTCTTTGCTCACAGTGAACGTCTTAAGATGCTTTGTGCTAATGAATCCACACAATCATTATATTTCTCCTCACCCAGGTCACCAGCACCTCTCCTTGAAAGCCAGAAAAAACTGGCTTCAAAGCATTTCTTTTGAAGTTTTGTGAAGCATTTAACTTTGTGAAACATTTGAAACCCTCTCTTCTGATTTTCCTGTTGGGTATTTGGAAGTTTCCTTTCACCTGCCCTTCCATCCTCCTGATGGGTATTCAGATGTTTCCTTCCACCTGTCCTTCCATCCTCCATCTACAATGCCTAGAGTGCAGCTCCAGGAGGTTTGGAGTCCCTGGATGACCCATCTATTGGTAGAAGTGGGGTATTGAAATCAGCCACCATCACTGTGCTGAAGTCAACTTTATTTCTCTATGTTTATCTTTAATGATGGTTTATTAAAATAAAAAGTATTGTATCTTGTTTCCCTTTATCTTCTAGCAACAATGACTTTTGACTTTATTTTTAACTTTCTTTTTTTAATAACACTATATTACTATATAGAAACCTGACTAAACGTTTAACAAATGTATGGATAAAATCAGACTTAGAACAAGAAGCCCTGCTTTCTTAAAAGTATTTATAAGAAGGAAAATCTATCGAGTCCATATTATTATACTCATTAAGTACTCACTACATGGTAGAGATGTGTTGACTTATATTATTTTGACTTGACCCTCAGAAAATGAGGGGCAGATTATTACCTACATTTTACAGAGTATAAAATTGATGTTTAGAGTTAAGCATTTTGCCTGATATCACATAGCTGATAAATTACACAGCTGTGGTTTGTCTTTCAGAAGATCTGCAGCCCTTGCTCTGTCCACCAGAGCACATAGTTGAGAGTTAAAGTGTTCAAATGTCAGAGTAGCGTGAGATTTGTTAGTCTTTGACATCAGCATTGGTTTTGCATAGTAGTTATTAATGTGTCATTAGTTCTAGCATATTTTTAATATATGATTGTAAGGACTAGAGGAGAAAACATTTGCTTTTCCAATATAAATATTTCTAGATACTTTGATTCCTGATCAGATAATTATTCTTTAGAGGATTAATTATATGAAATATTAATTGTACATTATTTTGGTCATAAATGAAATTTGGAAGGGGCTTTCTTTGGAATATTCTTGGTTTGGGTGGTTTATGTGACTTAAATCATAAAACAAAACTTACTCCAATAGATTTTAATTTCTTTGTACTTATATCTAGATACTTGTTCAGTAGTTCTTAATGTATGGTATTTTTCAATAATTCCTCTAAGGTCTTTGTAAATGACTTCTGATGTTTAAAGCATTTGAGATTACTATAGGCTTCTAAAGTATATTCTTGTGCTACATTATAAAATGTACAAGTTATTCTAATTGGAAACTAAAAGCATCTACCTTAAACAATGGTTTTAATACCAATACCTGCAAATGTCGTTCCAAAACATCAACGTTTTCTTTCATGGATTACACTTAAGAGAAAGGACCGAGGACTAAAATGAGAGTATCAGACTCAATAAAGTACTGGGATACTTTTTCTTTACTCTTAAATCTTCTTAAGATTCCCTGGAAAACTGGAGGTTATGATGCATTCATGAAGAACATCCATTAAAAAATGTGTGATTCCCATTGGTTCTCATTGCACAGCATAGATGGTAAAGGAAGTTGATGAGGCCAGTATACCCACCAAACACGTCAGCACAGCATGGCTGCAAAAGTGTAAAGCACATCAATGTGGAGTCTCATAGCTTAGAACAAAGGCCTCGTTATTTCCATCAATTCTGTTAAGAACAAAACATAGCTTTAAATAAGCCATCTGAAGTTTATGTTGAAAATGTGTGGTCCCTGTGAAATAGTCACACGCCGTCCTTTTCTCTATTCTGACAAATACAGTGGCTGTCACTTGGCTTTCTCTAAAAGGAACAGAATGTTCCACAAAATTATAGGAGCTCTGTCTCCTCAGAGAGCTTAAACAGAACTAGCTCTTCCAGAGATAAATATATTTTGTTCTCACTCAGTAAGTCTGTCTTCTACATATAGTATGACCTGGGGTGTGAATCAGTGGTGAATGCATAGCATATGGGAGGAGGCCCTGGGTTCAAGCTACACCGCTGCTAATAAGCAAATAAATAGTAGAACTGACTTCAAAAGGACAAATAAATAGAAATAAATGAGATTTTTCCCCTTATAACCACATGGAATAAACATCTTTAAAATGTGATTACTTTCATTATATTACACTATACTTGATATAATTAATATCTCTTCAATATTATGTTTCTTTTCTTAAAATCAACTCATTATTCATGGATGGCTTTCTCACTTGTGCTTTGAATGCCATTCATTGAACACATGTCCAAGGTTATAACCAAAGTTGGTAATAAAGAAGAATTAAGTATTTAATTAAACTTTAAAAGTATTTTCCCTGTAGGTACAATTAATGTACATTATTAAAATGTACCTTCTTTCCTTTCAGATACAAAACATTAACAGAAATAATGAGCAAGAAAATGACTATGAAGAGGATGCTGCCTCATTTTCAACACATTCTCCCTGTAAGTTTTCCTCCACTCCATGAATACATACATGTTTTATAGTATGGTGTATGAAACCTAAAAACAAGACTGAACAGAAAATGTGGGAAGGTATTTCATCAATCAATGAATGTTTAAGTAACATTCATTTAAGTAACATTAAGTAAAGATGTTTTGCCTATATGTGCTAATTTATACACCTTTCACAACGTCAGGATTTAATAATCAAATATGAATGTATGAGTTTTCTTACCCTGAAAAATTATGAGTCCGTTTGATATTCCTTTCTGGGTATTTGAAAACTATGTTCCCAAACTTGTTTTTCAAAACATAATCACATTCTTAGTGAAGCTGAGTTCTCTCAGCTGTGAAGTGGGAAGCTGAGGGAAGGATGTTTCTAAGATTTTCCACGCCACAGCACATATAATTTTATGTCTGACATCTGAAGATGAATTCGGTATCATACATGTTCAGGCCAGATCTCATTAGTAAGCAGTGGCTTGCTTACCATCTTCCCCAGTGTTTATGATGGGCATCTCACCCTTCAATCTGGAAAACCCTGCTTCCTGCTGTCCTCTGTGTCTCCACCTGCTGACTTCCCTCCCATCCAGTGAAAATGTCTTTTCCTTTTAAGTTAGTTTAAAATTCCTAAGTTACCTTAGACCTGTGTTCTTTTTCTGCCACTATACCTCCCCCCACCATAATAGTACTAATTGCACCTTCAAAATATTGCCAGCCTTCAACCCGCTCAGTGTTAAGGATGAGCATGCCCTGGGGTTTGCACAGTTTCGACTCCCTCCACACACTCTTCCTCCCCGCGTCATACTTGCTCCCTCCCTTACTTCATGCACACACCATAAGCCCTGTTTTAACAATCTTTTCATTTCCTTTCCTGGTACCTTTCTCCACTGTGCTCAGGATCGTTCAGCATTAGATTTCATTTATCTGGTTCCTCATCCATGGCCATTCACTTAAAACACTTGTTTGGGGAGATTAGGATTGTTTTGTCCACGTCCATATGGCCTAGAAGCAGTATGTGATCAATGCTCAGCTACACATACTGGCCCCAAGCTTTTCAAGTGTTCATAGGCATATGTTTTTGTTCATAGGCAAACCAGACAAAATTCAATGCAAAGCTTACCAAAGTATACTTTGATAAAATCCTTCAAACATTATCATAAAACACACATGAATACTACATATTAATGAATTGATTAAAAGGGCTATAGGCTATATATTTTATCACCTTAATAATAAAAGGTTAAGGTTAAGTTCATTATTAATACTGACCACATGTGTATCATGATACTCTACCCTCTGAAGAACTGCCAGTAACAAGAGAACATGGCAGTCTCTTGTAAAGAAAAATCTCATCTCTACAGCGGAAATTGAGCTCTCTCAACTATGAAACCATGACTGGGCTCAGCCATCAGTTTTCATGGGGTTGGCAGAGGTTGAGGCACCCCAGTCAGCATCACAATAATGACGGAGCATGCTGACCCCTCTGCCTACGTACCCTAACTTGCCAGGGCTCACTACATCTGCCAAGGCCCTGGAATGTCTGTTCCTTGTTGATGTCAAGAAATGCTGATTCTAGAACTAAAGTGCTGGCGTGAAATTTCCTGTCCTTGGCTGTAGTTCTGGGCTGATGACTGATTTTCTTAGATGGTGGTCAAGCATCTTTGGGTCCTCATGGCTGAGCAATAGTTTCCCTTCTAGTCGTTCCGTCATCTACTCCATGAGCATTTGCAGGGATCACTCGGGGTCAGTGTTTAGGTGTTAGGAATAGAAAACTGAATGAGACCTCTGAAGAAAAATCACACACAAACAACACAGTATAAACATATACTCCCCCAAACACCTTCATATACCACACACATACCACATATATAACACACAACACACTTACACTCCCCTACATACATACACCACATATACATACAGTATAAAACAAACACACACCACTCCTATCACAACACAATACACATACACTCCACACATACACATACATGCACCACCTATAAACGCATACATCACACACACACACACGAGGTACATAGTGCACACATATACTCCCCCATACACATACCGCCACACACTACACACACCACACATACAAAATACACATACACTACACGTACATACAGTATACACACACACTCCACACACATACAGCACACACATACACACACACCACAGAAGTCCATTTGCTCTTCCCAGACTAGTATTTCTAGAATCTAAGTTTAGTTCCAGAAGTAAAAACTGAGCTGTCTTCTTCCTCGTGTGAAAGAAAAGATTGTCCAGGGCGCCATTGCACACGTTCTTTTCCACAGACCTAGCTCTTCTCACACTGCTGGAAGTTTGCTAGTGTGCAACTTCATTTTTCCCAACAACAAAGAACAAATGCCTTCTTCCCCACACTGTTTCATAGAATATTTAAAGTTCTATTTTAGTTTAAGCAAATTTGAAAACAATTCTTTTTCATTGGAAATGATAAGACACATTTCAATGTCTGTTTGAAAGATCAAAAAGATTATGTCTTTCCTTTTCACTTTTAAAAAGAAAACATTGCATAAATTGTTTTATGGATATGAAGTTATTGCAGTTTAATGTTGTGATATCCCTGGGCGGTTAGAGTATTATTCTTAGACCAGAGGGACATTGACTCAATTATTTGGTTAAATTCAGAACAGCATATACTTTATCATTAGATATGCTTTCTCCAGAGGAAAAAAAAAAAGACATTTCACCATGTAACATTTTCAGAAATTAATGAAGTACCCATAATAATGTATGGTTGTTATTTATACAAATTATTTTAAATGCCTATTATCAGCACTAAGTAGTATGTATAATATTTATTATTATTATTGTATGTGTATTTACATGGAGATGCAAAGTAGAGGCACAGATTCCTTTTCAACAGTGGCACAGTTAAACATCACTATCACTGTCTCTGTGACTGTGTCGTGTACTCTTGAAACAAAATGAGATGGAGCATTGAGGCTCATTGTGAAGCTGAGCCATGCAGTGGGCATCTTTTTACTATACAGCAGGTGGCAAAAATGTGTCAACTGTGCTACAACTTCTATGTAAGTTTTCAAAATGCCTCCAGACAATGGGTCTAACCGAAGATTCTCAATCTTTATCTCAAATAGCTATGCTGTCCCCAGCATTTCATCATGAACCCGGCAAGGCACACAGACAGAGCACGGACGGATCTGAGGCGCCTGAAAGGGCTGGGGACACAAAGGAGGAAGAACCAAGCGCCGAGGCAGGACCCAGCCTGAGAGAGGTCGATGGTGCAAGCTCTGAGAACCAGTATGACGATTTGTATGTGTTCATCCCTGGAATTGACTCCGACAGCAACTCCCAAGAGCCTCTTCCGTACTGCAGACCGCCTCTGCCCCCACCCCGACCGGGGACTGCTGCCTCGCAACTAGAAAGACCTCATTTCACCTCACAAGGTAAGTTCGTAGGCAGCAATGCAAAGAAGCAATTTATTCCAAGGCTTCTACACAACAGATGGTACAACATGGACTCTGTGGAGACACGATCCGATTCCAAAACCCAGGGTAATGCTCGGATCCTTAACAACTGAAGCCAAGGGAAGAAAAAAGAGATAGTCTCCTTACCCCTTCTCTCAGTGCCTTCTCCCCCCAAAATAAAATGTCCTTGCAACGCTTCGAGAATATAAATATGGTAACTAATGATACTAAAATAAGCATAATAGTTTGGAAAGAAGCTGTCGTGATGCACGTAAAAGGAACGTGGTACATTCTGTGGAAGAGTTCAGTGTTCTAGCCAGAAGGAAGGCTGTTAGGGGCATTTCAGACATGAGCACGTCTCTCACCTGGTGGCTGGGTTTCCTGGCAGCTACATCTTTTACAATTTCTCCTTGGAGATCTCCATAGCCCAAAACCTCTCAGCTCCAAGGTCATTCAACACCATTACCCACTTCATTCACCTATTTCAGGCTTAACCTCTCAAGTTATTATACACTGTTCTCACAAAGAAAATTTCATAAGACTAAAATGCCACTGTTTTTATTATATTCTAAAAATAACATATTTTAGTGCTCAGATCCAAGAAGTTTATCAAATGTATGAGCACTGCTTGAAAGCATGGAGAGATGGTTCGGCAGTTAAAGAGCCCTCGCTGCCCTTGAAGAGGACCCAGGTTCAATTCCCAGAACCTACATGATGGCTCACAACTGTCTGTAACTCTATTCCAAGGGGTCTGCCCCCCTCTTGTGGCCTCTTTGGGCACTACATACACTTAGTACACATGCAGACATGCAGACAAATACTCATATACATGAAATAAAGATATAAGTGAACATTGAAGCCATAAAGTTTAGCATTACTGCCTTCCTGCTTCTGGGAAGGCTCATGTTTATCAGTATAAGCTGTGCTCAGGTTCTACACTACATTAGAACAGCAAACCTGGAAGATATTTCTCTGACTTTTCCAACCTGCATTCTTTGCTCACCTTTTCTGGACCCTTGGGAGGGTAGAGTTAACACATAAAACAGACTAGCAGTAGACTGGCCACAAAATTCGACTGCATTTTTCATATTTGAAAAATTTAAATAATAAAAATGAAAATATCACCTTGGGTCAAGATATGATGTTGCATCATAATCTTATAAGTCTTCATATACAATATGTTAGATAAGAAACCTAATGCCACTATTTCATAAGTTTACCAGATACCTATGGCCAAAATTATAATCTTGGCTAACATATCTCCTGAAAAGTACCACACGTTAAGAGGCAAAAACCTCCCCCCAAAAAAACCACATTGCTTTAACTTAAAAAAAAATATCACATTTGTTTTCTTAATATTTTCATATTTTGTATATAGATAATGCAAAGTAAAGGGTTTCATAATATATACATTATATATATATAATTATTTTCATCATATTATTCCCCATACATTCTTGTCTCCTTCTCTCTGGTTCCCTTCCTCTTACCAATTGATCTCTTTTTACTTTCATATTTTTTAATTCATCTTTTCACCCATTGCAATGAAAAGTGAGTAGAAAAGAAAATGGTACTGTTTATCAAGATATTTTTATAAATATTCAGGTTTCTATTTTATTTTTTATATCTATTGACTTTTTACTTTATCTGTATTTAGGTTGGCCTAAACAAATGTATTTGTGCTATGGCATGCCTGTTGGATCCGGTGGGACTAGGTTTAAAGATGGCTGTAAGCCAGTATAGGGGTCCTAGTAATCAAACCCAGGTCCTCTGCAAGAGCAACAAGTACTCTTGGCCACTGAGCCGATTTGTAAGAAAATAGGCATCAAATTCTACGAATGAGACTTGCAGACATATTCATTGCATAAAGTCCTAATATACATCACTAGGAAGCATCTTCTCACCTCCCCAACAGTCACAAGATTGAACTATCATCATGACCCTTCTGTCACTCAGACACAAGACCGGAGAGCCTAGAATTAGAAGGTGCTGCATCCTTCCAGGGTTCTTCTCTTTGTTGTGCACGTGCGCCCCATTATCTCATCCGTTGGAGTGATGCACTTATAGGAGTTAAATGGATCAATTACTCTTACGTATACAAGCTGGGGTGGGAAAACTCAGGCCCCACTCCTTAAAGCCAAGCACAGGCTGATGCTTTAGAGGATAAGAAGTAATATGTACGATTTCTAGTGTGAGTCCAACTTTAGAGAGAGTTGGAAAGAGAGGTGGGTGGGGAACCGCTCAGGAAATGGGTTCACAAGTGAGACCGTTGGCACATTTTGCTGAAAATGAAGTTCTGAGAACGTCTTTCCCACACACTTAATCGGGTTTCACCCGGAGGCTGTCAGGGACACAGAAGTCGAAATCTCAAAGCCATGTTATTCGTTCAGAAAGAGGAGATTTTCAATGATTTCAAAGCTGGTGCCAGACATATCGGAAATTAACAATTCTTGGGCTAAATGAATCAGAGGAATATATATAGTTTAAGATGTTTTGGAAGAATGTCGGGTCACCCCTCCCAGAACTACCGAAAGCAATTACTGAATATTTTTATAAAAAAAAAAATACCCTTTCATGTAGTTCTATCAGCTGTATTTCCTCTGAGTGTCTAAGTTTCTCCACTAAAATCCCAACTGCATTAATCATTATTGAATTCAGACTATCCAATAGAAGCAAATTGGCAATGAAAGAATAAATAGTAATATCCACAGTCAAAGACCTTCTCATCGGCCACAGGTTATTTTAAACGTATTAACCAGAGTGTTTCATGTGCTTGTCTGCTTAACAACTGCCATGAAGATATCTTAGCACATCCATACAAAGCCGGGAAATATTTTTCTGACTACGGATTCCTAAAAGATTCTGTAGCTGTGACTATATTCTAATCACACAACTAATGCTGAAGGCAGTGATTGCCCATACTATTACACCAAGGCCTCCACTTTGGTATCATGTTTAAGTGAGGTTCGTATTCACCTGTGATAACCACAATTTGCACCTTTGAAAATGTCAGTTTACCATAGCAGAGAAATGCTTGCAAGAGCAGACAGTGGAAGTACGTATGACTGGTCGGTCCCTCATGTTATTTTCTGAGAACTCAGGTTTTTGGTGAAATATTCAGTATAAGCAAAGGAAAGGAAAGATGTTTACTGGGGAAGAACGTGTCCTAGTTTTATGTTTAAAAACACCCCTTTGGGAGCTTGAGATACAGATTTATGACTCAATTTCATGATAGCAAATATGTACCTCAAGTGAAGTTTGAAAAATCCTGATTTTTTTGAAAATATATATTAAAGTCTTTGCTTTGCAGAACTAGCAACTCCAAGCTGTGTAAGTGGATCAAATGACCGACTTTTCTTTTCAAATTTTGATAGTAGTAATAAGTATTTTACCAGAGACAGGCCCTGTTTTCATATTGTTTCAATGACATTTGAGTAAACTCATTCGAGATACAGGAAATAAAAAAGCAAGAGTATTGCATAAAATATAAAACCAACCTAAATGTTTCCTAAGCAGGAAAAATGGTGGAAAACCAAATGGAAAGAAGTCAGAACTGGTGTGACCTCAGCGCAAGACAAGAGGCGAGAGAGGAACCCAGCAGAGAAAATAAAATAGAGAATGAAGCACAGAACGAAGAGGAGGAGGAAAACCCGTATACATTTGCTGAGACAGATGACAATGAGTATGATCTGATACTGGCCAGCAAGAGTGTAAAGAAAAGAACTGGAAACCGGTCTTTCATTGTAAACAGGCCTCCCGCTCCCACCCCGCGGCCCACTCACGTCCCTTTCAAAGAAGAAACAACACCTTACATAGCGCAAGGTAATGGTTTGATGTCTAAAGATTTTTTCCAACGTTCAAATTTTGTGTGCATGGATTTTTTTTACCTGTATGCATGTCTATGTGCAGTGTGCACGCCTGGTACCCAGAGGCCAGAAAAGGGCACTGGATGTTCTGGAAATAGGATTACAGAGAATTATAAGGTACTGTGTGGGTGCTGGTATTTGATCCTGGGTTCTTTGAAAGAGCCACCAGTAATTTTCGCCACTGAGACATGTTCCCAGCCTCAATTTCTTGAATGTTTCCTATTCCATGGCTTATGAGAGAAATTGGGTTGGGAGATGAGGTAGAAAGTGGGGGGATTAGTGCTTTAAAGCCCTCAAGGCTGTAAGCATCTTTTCAAGTCACAGATGAGTTACATTGGCCCAAGTTTTAATATGACATTTTATTAATTCTGAGACTTTCATACGTGTATACAAAACTGTATTGACCCCCCCACTGCTTCCAGATCCACCTTCCCCCTCCCAACTTTCAAACTATTTTTCTTAATAATCTATATTGTCCAATTTACGCTGCCTACATACCCAAGTGAGCGGAACCATCAACTGGAACAAGATTTACCTACCAAGTGCCATGCACTTTAAGAAAACTGAGTCTCCCACTCCTAAAAGCCATTGACTGCTAGTGGTTCCTTATTTAGGCGTGGAATCTTCTGAGCCCTTCTTCCTTCCATGCTAACATTTTGACTGATGAGATGTTGTACAGGTCTTGCTCGTGGATGCAACAGTCTTATTCTGCCCAGAAGATCCTGTTTTTTCCCCAGTTTTCTTACTCTTACAATCTTTCTCTTTCTTCCCCACAATGACCTCTGAACCTTGGAGATACAGAGTGACATTCCTGTCCCTGTTGTGGCTGAGCACTCCACAGTCACTGAGTCTTTGTCTTTTGACCAGTTGTGAGTGTCTGTGTTAGCTAAATCACACATAGAAAGGCCTCTGATTAGGAATGAGAGCTAATCTGTGAATTGAGAGGATAGAGGGCAGCTTGATATTATGTCCATTTAGTAAAATCATAAAAGTAGGTTCACACATACATAGGGCCTGAAACAGCCCTAGCCATGGGTTCCTGGGCCGATTTAAAGTTACAAGGTAAACATTTCCTCCTGGGGAGTGGGCCTTACATATTAGCAACAAGTCATTCGTTACCTCCATAACATCTGTACTATTATGGTACCCTTGGGAATAGCTTGCCATGACCACCATTAATATAGTTCATAGGGTTCATAAGTGTGCAAGACTCATGTTACTTTCCTGTACTGTGAAATCTAGGAAGCAAATAGCCAGCCTCTTAGTGCAAATTAGATTTCTCCGTGCCCTGTGTCCTAAGTGTGTAGTGTCTTTAGCAACAGGGCCTTACCAGTTAGCATAAGTAATGGTAGGTAGCTAAGAGCATTGGAAAGCACATACATTGTTTGTAGGGGTCTCTGAAATATCCCATGCAATAATTCAAGGAGTGATACCTCCTAATCTGGTAATGGGCTTTTTATTTACAACCTATGACTCCCAGGAGACCATAATCCACTGTGCAGGGTAACTACAGTTAAGCTCTTCTGTAAAATGCTTCCATGTGGCTTTTCAAATGCTGTTCATATTAGTTACCTTCCTTCTCTCTCCTCATTTAACCTTTCCTCCCCATATTCCCTACTGTTACTTTTTAAATTTAGGGAAATAATGAGTAAAGGACTGGTGGAGATGATATAAACACATTATTCATATATTAAACTCTCAAAAGAAATGAAAATTTAAAATAAAAAATGAATAAGGAAATAATTAAAATTTTGATCATGCTTTCTGATTCTTCATTAATAAAGATGAACTTAATTTAATTGTTCTTACCTAGTTCTACAAAAGTCAATTAGAGTGAGAAAAGGAGAGTAGGAAATGTGGGTCATCTATTCAAAATGAGCAGTTGGTGGCTGGAGGTATAGCTTATTATGCAAGCATGAGGGCCTGAGTTCAAATCCCCAGTAAAAAGTCAGGCATTGGTATGCATGCCCAGAACCCCGAGATTAGGAGACTTTTAACACATTGTTCCAATGCTCCTGCTCAAGTAGATCTACTAAATGTAATGTCCATCATTTTCCAGAAGAAGGTCGTTCATCCCACTATCCATGCATCAGGAGAATATCAATTTGCATCATTCTTGATAGCTGTCAGACAGAGTGGCAGAAGGAAATTGACACACCTATAGCATAGCGCAGCATAGCCGAAGAGTAAGCTGTAAGGTACAGAGCTGAAGAAAACAGAGTAAAGAATCCAAGTATATCATTTCAGAGAATAAACAGAGAAAATCCAGAGGGATTGAAGAAGCAGTGTTGACATTACAGAAATACCTTTGTTGAGGATCTGAAAAAGAATGACTTTGATATACCAATTCTAATGCAGAAAAGGGTTCTATATATTTCTTTGGTTCTCTGATAGTCAGAAGTTAAGGGAAATAGATAAGAAAGGACATCATCTGACACAAAGGAGAATCTATGATCTGTTGAGGTACCTGGGCTTTGTCTGCCACCCAGGATATCAATAGGAGGAAATTCCTGTGAGCTCTTACTCATGTGGCAGTCCTGCGTGGTTCACATTGCCAGTCTAATTTCAGATAATGGAACTGATGCTAAGAGAGTTCCGATGCACTGTCCCAGTGGTGAAGTTAGGAAGCAGGACCAGCAGCCTGTGAGGCCCTGTTGTTCTGTTACCCCTACTTGTGAACACTGAACCATGCGCTCCTTCCCCCAATACATTCACTTCTTTTGCCTGCATCTGTATTTATTTCCTTCCCAGCCTGAAATCCTTGTTCCCACATTCAGTGATGGATTCTTACACTGAGAGAATTTGATGAACATTAGCTGAGTGAACAAATGGTAGAAGAGGCAGGACCCGCATCCATATGGCTACAGTAGAAGACTTCATTAAGGGTATAGAAGGTAGACAAAGACTCTATCAGCCTCTTAGATCTTTCCTTCCTGCGATAAAACATCTAATGTCTAAAGCACTAATTGGTAGGGCAGAGCCCACAGAGGACAGATCAAAGCTCCAAGGTGACCGGGTATAGTTCCTTTTCTACATGCTGTAGATCCCAGATGGGGGAGCGGCTCTGCTCCGTCTATAGCACTTCATCCCCCTCCACCCCAGAAGTCTGTCTTCACAATACAAAACTGAGCTCACATCCATCAATTTTACCAGAAGATACGTTTCCGATTCTGATTATTTTTGTGTGAAACACACCCTAATTTCAAGAATGAATGGCAACAAGAATATTTCATTTCTCTTTAAAAGAATTTATCTTGAATGGTTTCCCTCTTCACAGATCTCATGTTCTTAAAATTTTATTTCCCTGTTATATTATATAAGATAAGGCTCATTGGGCATCAAGAATATAGTGGGATTTTATAGATTTATAACAGTGGCAGAATTCTTGATTTAAAACAAATCGAGAAAAGGAAATGGTAGTCAGTAGATAGACTGGTAATAGAATTCCATCTTAGATCATGCACAAATGTGAACTCCTAATAGGGAAAGGTTTTAGCATCAGTAAATCATTTTTCATTCTCCCTCATACAGTTAATAAAACAAAGACAGGACCAAGTCCATGTGGCTGCTGTGGGGCAGAATACAATTCCCCTTTCAATTTGCAATTGCTCTTGGGGTATCCTTGGCATTTTGCAGTGAAACGAAATTGTATTTATGACCTTCTTGAGGGCGTCTCCGCTACCAAGACCCTAAAATGTCAAGTACAACTCAGTTGCTATCCTAAAATTTCCACTTGAAGTTCGCTTGTAACTGAAACTTATTACATACAGTGAATTAGGGGTAAGGAGAGTACTTGGTGAAAGTTCTTGGGAAAATTAATTTCCACTGTGTACATGTGACAGAGTAGAAGGCCTTCTGCCTTTCTTAGTAAAGAAATAAATTCAAGTGGGTTAAAGTAAGTCTTATGGCCAGAGCCTTGCAGCCCATTCTCTCTGCCTAGGTGACCTCACCCAAAGCATTTAGTTTCAGGACACCATATGCATGTCACAGGTGCTCTCGGAACAGAGTGACATGGTCATCGTTCTATTTATAAGCCTAGGGTCCCTGACTTTCCAGGTGAGGTTCTTTTCTTTCTGTGGAAGGGAGCTGGTCCAGCTCTACAAAGGAGCCATCATTATGACTGGGCATGTGCTGTTCATTGAACAGAGACAGTGCTGCGCTGTAACCTGTGTTTAAAGAATTGTTCCCCTTGTCCTGAGAGCAGAACGCCACAGTCTCCTGGCTCCTTCACAGAGACACTGAGTGAAACCAGGGAGGACTTTCCAGGCCATCTCTTAGCACAGGGATATAAAGAAAGAAATCTGATTGCCCTCATCTTAGAAGGGTTCAACTCCTTGGTCATATAAAGGGGGCAAAAATCACATTGGTGTGAACTGACATTACAGGTTTGCACTTGTGAGCAAAATGAAAGAAGGTATCCTCAAGCCCTTGGGTTTTTTCCCATTGTTCCACAACTTCTCGTTTTTGTTCTTAAGGTGTTGCTAAACTCTATTGAATGTGTCTGTGGTAAGAAGGTTAATTGACCTTTGTCAATTAACATTGTGGTAGTAATTCTTAATGACTCCCAGAAGTTACTTAGCAACATCCAGAGAGACTTTGATTTTCACAGGTAGGATAGTGCTAGAAGTAGCTAGGAGGTACCTGATGACCATCCCACAATTTAACAATCAGCCTTCTACATCTACAGTCTAAAGCTTTTGCAATATAAAATGTCAATAGTTCCAAGGTTGGCAAACTCAGATCCACATGCTTGCCGTTTTTAAGCCAGAGGCAACATTTGCAATCTTTAGGTAATGGTCATTTAACAGCTGCCCACAAAGACACCCCCATCTTTATGCACGCACACACAAAAACACACAAACTCTGAGTCATGTGATTAGAGAAGAGGGAGAGACTCTAAGGAGCTGTCACATATGAAGCATCCCCCATGCAAGAAATGCTATCAGTAATTCACGA